CCCCCCTCCCAATTCTGATTTTTACTGAGGTTTCTGAAAAAGACTCCTATTTTTAGTAATTGGGTGGGTGGCAGGTCTGTAGACGTTATAATTGTCACAAACTGGCCAATCAGTTGGGCTATGGTGTCACGCAGTATGAAAGCTTGTGGTATGGGGTGAACAGTTTGATTGTCCCAAACTCTTTAACTTATTGCGTTTTTTTTTGTCCTCGGCTTTGTGTGTTTTCAGAGTGTGTGTCTCACAATGCCCGGATGGATTCTATACCTCTGGCGACATGTGCATGCCGTGCGACGCCTCGTGTGCCACGTGCTCGGGCCCGGCACTGACAGAGTGCCAGTCGTGCCACGAAGGTCGCCACTACCACCAACTCAAGGACAAGCACAGTGTATGCAACATAGAGTGTGTCGACGGATTCTTTTACAGTAAGAGCGTTCACCACCACAACCCCTGCCCCATAATCCATCACTGTAACTTGCGCGTTGACACGTGCAAGTATTCGCTGTCCAGCGTGTTGGATGTGCAACGCTTGTGCTCAGAAGTGTGCTCAATGCAGCAGTGCTCTCTGGAGTATGAGGTCACTTTCCCTCCCTATGAGTTGGCGCTTTCCAGTCTGGATGCCCCGTATTTTGTGTCAGAACTTCCTTGATGTTAGCCTGATCTTTAATGCTTTTTTTTTCAGAGCTCCGTGCCTCCTGCAGCTCATTCGTGGTAGTGTTGTTTGGATATTTTTTTCACTCACATATTTGTTTTTAACGTCAATGTATGGTACCTTCATATCTTTACCTTTCTTTTTCATCTTTCTTCTTTTTTTCTTATTTATTTTGCCTCGTGTTTGTAATCAACTTACTAGGTCATTATACTCATGTCGTATATGTTGTGAGCCCAATATTGTCTTTTTCAAGTCCTTTGTAGTGATGTCTGTTCTAACTGTCGTATATCGGTAGATTGGTGGTTGGTAGGAGTGTAATAGATATAGATTTGCTCCTTATTTTAAGTGACTGGCAGTGGAAGAGAGTAGGCTAAATGTAGACTTAACTCATATTTGTATTCTGGTGGTTCGACAGTTTGAAGGAATGTAGTACATTTACCCATCATTTTGAAGGTTTGCATTTACTCTTCATTTTAAAGGATGTTCCAAAAACAAAAGATTGATTAATTACTGAAAAAGGATAGGAGTGACAAGTTCATTGTTCCCTTTCTACTTCTTTCTGTCCTTCTTTTATTCGTTAAAAAAATCCTGTCCTACAATATAAGACTGTCCTTTCGTCGATGCTCTTATCTTTGACTTTAGAAAAAAGAATAAAGACGAAAAAAACAAAACAACCCCCACACATTCCATTTTCAGAAATAACTTTGTACATGCTTCACGCCTTATGGAAGTCGTAAGTGTGGTGTGCATGCTTCTGCTCTGCTGGCTTCTGTTTGATAAGTCATCAATAGAGAAACATAATTGTTCACTGCAGAATAAACTGTCACACAGGATAGATAGTCTCTGCGTTCCTTGATGTGTTATATATATATGCATGCAGACAGTAGTTTGCTGTTGTAGCTGACAGAATTTTAGTTTATTTAATCAAGCATGATGTACGAATTGTATGAAGTTTAAGAAACAAAATGAGGCCAGTTTCAAGAGTGTTTGCTTTTTTTTTTCTTTGGGGGGGGGGGGGGGATAAAATATATCTGTCAGTGTGACTGTCCTGTCTAAAGAGTTTGCTGAGATGACAATAGATCCTTCCCTTTGCAGTTGTTAACAAATGTGTGACTTCATGGTGAAATCAAGCGCTCTTCAAAATAATGAAATTGAATAAGCCTACATTTTGAGGGGGGGGGGGGGGGGGGCTCAACACCTTTTATGTCCTTTTGAAACATTTCTGTTTTTATAGAAGAACGTTAATCAAAAGCACCTAGAAAAAAAAAGAAGTAAATTTGCAGTTTCCAAGGACACTCCAGCATTGGAAGTCACCAAACTCTATTGACCATTTTCTTGCTAATTTTACCTCTGCAAGCAAGTGACACCCATCAATAATATCTCAACTTTGAACTTTGATTCAAGATAGATAGGTATCTTTTTTCATCAGAAGCAAGACAGATAAACACGCTTTAAAATAAAATATATATCAATAACTCCAAATTTTAAACAAAATGGCAAGTGCTTCATTCCACTGTCATCAATTAAATGGTATAAGGTGCTGATTTGATGAATTTCACCTTCTGAAGTCTAGACTGTCAGATGTTAAGTTCAGCACGCTGACGTCCAGTTCTACTTAATGCTTTGCTTTGCTCTTTCTGTCCATTTTGGAAAACGTTTCTGAACCAGGCACGTCTGATTGTGAATGTTTTTGTAATCCTTTGTGCACTCAGAGATATCTTGTTCTGTACACTTGAATGTCTGTCTGTGTGTGATGACCAATGTCTTTGTGGAGCTTGTGCTCTCATGAATGGCTTGTGGTAATGTCTGCAAATGTCCAACTGACAGAATGCTGTTGCTTGTTGGAACATTGTAGTAGCAGGTGTTCATATGACCTTGTGCGTACGTTAAAAAATCAAATGATCATGTGATCTCTGTTATTTTTTGTTATCAGTCACTGAGCCTTCCAATATAAAATGAAAAAGAACCCAAAACAATACCGTTTTACACAAAGAACAAAAATTCAACTTTTATATAGGACAAATACAACATGTGGAAAAAGAATTAGGACTTAGTAAATAGCACAAACAATATAGAATAAAATAGATGCCAAATCAGCAACAAAGTGAAATCTGCGAAAGAGGATTCCTTTGATAAATCTTATAAATTTACATGTCTTTCTTTGCGACATACACTGAGCACTGTATTGAAAGATGGTGCAGACTTATTTATGTCTTCTGAAGAAGAATGCTTTAATATGTTTTATTGCATCTCTGTTCAGAGGACTGGCTTGTGAGTGCAGCTTTGCTATCCAGCATTTCATGCTCCAGTTTCTGACCTGTCCCATTGCTTTGAGAGAGGCTTGGCTTTTTTCAGCCTGCTTTTTGAAACCCGTTTTGTGATGAATAAACATATTCAGTTTCTTATGTTTTGTCCATTGTTCAAGTAAATGAAGACAACATGACAAATACAAAACATAAGCCAGGTGTAACGTTTTCAGGTATTTTATTTGCCAACATAAATATTTTGGGGGAAAAACAAAGAAGGAAAAGTTGTAGTATCATAAAAGAAGTGGAGTCTCTCTGTCTTGACAATGTGATGTTTATCCCACTCAACTTTGGATGCAGCCAGCATCGGAATGAATCTAAATTGTGTGGATGGGGGCATAAAGCTTTAATAGTCTAAATTTTCTAATGCAATGCACCTCAATCCATGAGCATGGATGGACTGAATTTTACAAGACCAACAATTCTTTAGTCATACTGAATGGCAGGTGATTAAAAGAAATCTAGCCCATTTTATACCTTCTTTGAGTGTCGTTCACTCATGATTCTCAGCCCACTCTGCTTTTTGTCCTAAATAATCTGCACCCTCTCTGTCAATGATCACTTGTCCTCATTTTATTATCAAATGTTGATAAAGACTGGACAGTAGGCCTATTTAGCCTCCCTCTCACTGTTTTTACCACCTAGTGTATGGAAAGAATTTGTGTGCTTTCACTCCAACCACCCTTGATTTGTTATGAAACCCTTCCCATCGTTGAAGTATTCTTTTTTCATTTTCCTTTCAGCTGGTCAGCTTGACTCAGATGAAATTGATTAATCATTTCCTGCTTCCTGGTGTACATGTAATGTGCATCATATTATCCCATGACATTATAATTATTGTTTTTAGCATACTTTTGCCCTGAATTAAGTTTGAATATTAATTATTGAGTAAAAATTGTTCTTCACTATAGGTTAGCCTCTCTTGTTGTATTCCCTTCATGCATTTATTTCAGTGTGTGTCTATGGGATGTCCCTGCTGACCCAGATGCAGTTCTTTTTCACAGGGTTCAGATTTTTATAATTTCACTTTGTCCAATGGTGTTTGCTAAGATATACACTTTTGATGTCCAACTTACATTGTGGAGTTATACAGTAACGGCAAAGGCTTATGATCTTACTCTCTGTTTGTGAATCTATAGTGTCATTCTTTTCTTCCCCTGGACATTGGCAACCCCCTCCTCCCTGTGTTTTCATTTATCCCAGGTTGAGACATCCTGCTTTATTACCACCTGTCTGCTGTCATGACTTTGTTTTAATAGACTACAGTTAATGTCATGTCTTTATGGTTCTCCTTTTTTCTCTTTTTTCTCCCTTTGTAGCCAATGAGATTACTTTTATAAAATACTTGAAAAGATTTTAAAATCAAGCCGATAGCTTTAATGGGTGGTTGGCAGGTGCTCTCGTGGGGTCTGCTTCTTCCTTCCTATCAAACATCTATTGTCCTGATCTCTCCCTACTATTTTTTTTGGTGTTTATTACTCTCTTGTAACGCCTCTAATCTTGGGCACTTATATGACTTTATTGTGTTGCAAGTGCCGTAAAACTCGTACTAAAACTAAACTAGAATAGCTTTGATTTAGTGGCATGATATGGTTTATAAATTGATATTCCATCACATTTACTGTAACAGCTGCCAGCTCTGCCATGTTGGAGGGTGCTGCTGGTAGATCTTACTTCTTTACCATAGCTCTTTTGTCTCTGTCTGTCTGTGTCTGTCTGTCTAGCTTTTTGAACAGCCCTCAATGACCAGTAGTGTGTTGGTATGCTTCCCGTCTATCAAATGAAAGAAATGAAAGAGACAGATAAGCAGAATCTTGGTATTCATCTGTGTGTATGTGTGTGTGTCTCCCACAGGTACCAATTCCTGCCTGCCCTGTGATGTCGGCTGTAAACATTGCGAGTCCTCCGCTCTCCACTGCACTGCCTGTCGCAAGGGTTACTCTCTAAAAGACGACAAGTGCGTGTCTCAAGCGGCTGTCGTCTCTGTGATGTTTGAGCACATTACTTTGAGCATTGTCTTGATAAGCGTCATTGTCCTGCTAGTTGTGTTTATTTTTATGGGTCTGCTGTACATGTATCGTAATCAACTGTTTTTCTGGTCGGATCGAAAGATGTATGGGCCCGTGCCACGGGAAGATGAGGAGGCTGTGGTACGACTCACGTATAGTGATGATTTTGATGAGGATTTTAAATCCTAGGTTGCGCGATGTGAATCTGTTGCAGTAAAGTTTTGAAACTAGGTGATTTTTTGAAATTGTTGCACTACAAAACCCCACTCTATTTCTACCGTCTTTGGCACAGACATACACCCTCAAACACACAGAAAACTGTGCTGTCAGTGAGATAGTTAACTGACTTACGTTAGCTCTGAGGTACTAAGACAGCTAGCTAAGTGCACAAATTAGCTAAGGCAATTTTGCTCAGACTAACCTGTAATCACCCCCACCCCACCCCACCCCCACTTTTTTTTATATTAAAAGAAAGAGGTTTGCACTGTGGTCCTAATGATGTTACGAGAACACCTAAAAATGTTTTACTCCTTGATAGCAAAAGTTGATGTGTAAATTTTCAGAAATTTCTGTGAATTTCACAAATCAACCATATATTATGTACTCCTTTATTTCACAACTTTACTGTTGCAAATGCACATGTTGTCCGGTTGTTTGATTTAAATGATATTTTTTTCTGGAGGTCCTGATTTATTAGAGAGTTTGGGGGGAGGGTTTTTTTTTTCTCCTAAAATATATGCTTTGGCTTCCCTTGTCATTCAAATATTGTACACATGTCAAGTGGGGTGCCTAAGAGACAGAAATCAAAAGATTTTGTTGAGATAATTACTGTCATTGTTTACCCTTGTGTCAAGTTGTAATGTCTTTCTCAATTTGCTCTGTTGCTTCGTGTGATCTTGCATAATGATTTTGTGGCATACTGGAAGCATATCTGAGGTGTGGGCACCTCCTTCTCTAGGGTTTCGCTGGAGTTGCCATTGTCTTTTCGAGCCCTTGCCTTTTGTATTCTGTTGTCCACCTCACAGACTGATGAGCAGGTGTCTGGAGATTGTTGTTAGTAGTTAAGTAGGTCTTACTTTTCTTGCCATTTCTTAGCACAAATGACTAGATCTATTATTGTGATGACGTGATGTGCTTCTCTTCTCTTGAACAAACGAGCAAACAAATGAACTGAGGTGTTATATTTTCCGTTCCTGAATTCAAACCTTAAACATCACAAGCCATTACTCATAATGGTACTCTTATTTATTTAAGGGTGTTCTCACAAGGTCGCTTATCCATATGTTTAGTTGTCTCCATTCTCCTTCTGTCTAATCCATCTCAAGCCGTCCCTCAAACTTGAATATTTGAACAAGTGTCAGGTACAGCGTCTTTGATGAGGAGAGAGTTAAAGATATGGATACGCCCCTTATAAGTTAAGCTTTATAAGCGTGTCTCTAGCAAAAGCATAACAGCAGCAGTCTTTTATGTGGACATTGATGACTCATCAGTTTGTGAGATGGACAACTACCTGTTGCCTTGAGGTGCTGTGCACCAGAGCCCATTCATAGTTTGAAGCAAGGACTGTTTTGTCAGAAATGTTGTTCACAGCCTCTTGCAAAATGTTAATACGTGACCGAAAGTTTAACTCATTATCTCTATTAATAGTATATTATTGATGTTTGAGAATTTCTTGATTGCAAGTAATTCTTAAAGTCCTGGTGATTGCTGTTTGTATTATACTTCGAAAAAGAAAAAAATTATTCCCTGGACGTGTGACTATAAACCGTTTTGCAGTTGCAGTGGAATCTGATGTTCAGAGTTCGTGTGATTGGTCAAGCTAGTAGTGCAGTGAGTCACAGTAGAATGTTTGTGTGGTTGCGGTGCTATGAGAGAGGGGGAAGAAAGGGAGGGCGGAAGGGACAAGAAAAAAAGGTCAGGAGGAGTGGATGAGAGAGTATCTCACTCCAGTTAGTTTTCTTTGATCTTTTCCTTTGATCAAGTGAAAGCTGTTCTACAATGGTGAAGTGTTTTCAAAGTAAGAAGTAACCTTTTTTCTTTGCCTTCTTTTTCTGCTATGTATAAAGATCCTTGTAATGTTGAAGATGAGCTTTAAAGTTATATGTAGAGTTTTTCAGTAGAGTGGTAGCCTACCGTAGCAAGTTGTGTTGGTAAGGGTTGTTTTTGGATTTCATTTTCCCATAACTTTTTGTATAGCAAACATTGTTAGTGGAGACATTACTGTCTTTATGTTAAGTCAAAGCAAACTAGCCTGATATTGTGGACAAAGAATGTTTTAATGTCAAGTTAATGAGCATAGTTCTAGTTGTGGAGAAGCCCAACATTGTGATGAAGGTAATGCCATTCTTTGACAAACCTGGCAGACAGACAGACTGAGAACTGTGGAAGATAATTATGCTTCTACACTCTCTGTAGATATTGTTTACTTTACTTTCAAAGCAAAACACTAAAATAGCTCAAATGTTTTATCGAGTATTGAAATGAAATGTTGGGATCAGAAGTTTTTCCCCCTGGCTCCTCATCTGATCATTGGTTTGGGCACATTCTACACTGTCGTCTGGGTCATCCAAATTGTCTTGGTCCACCAAATAATGAGAATACAAGTTTTCCTGTATTCATGATGCTTGTAGTCTTGTATATGGCTGCAATGTGGCTGCTGATATTTAGCCTGGACAGCTTTACTATTTCTTTTGCTTTCCTCAGCAAAAAAAATGTAGCCGTGGCTTTTTATTCTTTTCAGCCTTCACTTTGTTTGGCTGGTCATGATGCCATTTTTTGTCTATTCTTTTTTTATTTATGTGTAATCTCCATGTCTGGAAATTTTAATAAAATTGTTTGTGTCTGGTATATCATGTCTCTTGAGGTGAAGTTCAACAGACTGGTTTGTTGTTTATTGATTATTCACCTACCAGTTTCTGCTTATTTCTTTGCTGTGCATGTAACTGTATTGATGGTCCTGATGTCTCTGAGGAAATATCCGTCTAGATAGATAAAGCAGTCACCTTGGTAAAGGTTGCCCCTTTCAGTTTATAAACTGCAAGCTTGATGATTATTTACAGAAATAACTTATTAAGTATGATGGAAAGACAAAGCTTGCGTGAAAATATATTGGTTGTAAATAGTTATTTAAGTCAAAAATTTTCTTGGGTTTTTGCTTTTTTTTGTTTTGTTTTTCTTCCCCTATCAGGTGCATAGACACGTCTTCCTTTTTTCCACCATTCTCCTCTGTGAGTGAAATTGTGAACTCAACTGATGTATTACTATTTTCTAACTTTTCGCTGACTGCTGGTACATTCTGGCTAGCTGTAGGCCTCTCTCATGCCACTGCTTTTTATTTCATAGATATCTATGTATTTGAAAAAACAAAACAACGTATGAGTTTACAGGAAAAATTAAATTGAAAGACACAGGAAAGTGGCTATAACAGCACATAGAAATAGGTAGCTGGTACCCCTACGAGTAAATTATTATTGATTTAGCTTAAGGTTTTATGTATGGCTATTTTGGTCAGCCAAAGTTTAATCATAGCTTGTTGTTGAAATGTTTTTAGTCATAAGTTTACAGTAAATTTCCAAATTTGTACCTATTTGAGACAAGCAACATTTTGGCCTCTGGTGCATTAGAAATTTTTATTAACTTCTTTGAACACTTGCTAATAAGAATTTACTGAAATGAGAAGACATGATTGTAATGTGAACTGTGGGAAATTACAAAGGCGCTATGTCTGAGCAACTTGATTTGAATCTCCTTCTCTGTGTGATATCAAGACCAAGAACAAAATGAAATGGAGAATTTATTTACCCTTTTTCCGCCTGGCACAGAACGTTTTGGGCTGCTGTGTATGATCATGTAGCATTCATGGTAGTGGACGGATTGGTCTGTAAATATTCTGTTATAATCAATGTACATGTATGTCCAAGCCTTTGGGGGCTTCAGTGTTCTCCTTGTTGCTGTCAAAAGTCTATTAATAAGTGGTGCATTTGTACTGTATGTTTAAGTCTATACCAGTTCTCCAAATAGTTGGTTGATGAGTGAAGCTATGTTTTACTGCTGAATGTTGAATTTGTTGCACAGAAATGGGGCGTATTTAGAACATGTCGAAAGAGTAAATGTTATAAACACTGATGAGGAAGAGTTACATATTTGGTCGAAATAATTCTTGTTGCAGCTTAATTTTGTGTACAGAGTTCCCTCTTTAAATTCATTGACCTGGTTCTTTGCTGCCGAGGTGCTTCTAATCTTTGCTTTCTGTAGTTTTTGTTGGGACTTTTGTTAATCTGATGAAGTATTATAGAGGAGACGGCCATGACAGTATGAATGTGCACTTGTGTGTGTCACTGTGTGTGTGTGTGTGTGTATGTGTGTGTGTGTATGTTTGTGTGTTTATGTGTGTATGTGTATGTGTGTGTGTAAGGTGAGTGTAAGGTGAGTGACCAAATGCAGCATCTGTACCATACTTGTACAATAGTGAGATGTGTGAAGAGCAGCTGTAAAGTCAGTCACATTGGGTTAGTGTGTTCGCTGAAGTCTGTTTTTTGCCTTGTGGTATGAGTTAGGCTACTCTTTACAGTAGAACTGGATAAAGGTTAAGCTGGAGGATAACAGTACACACTCTATCTACACTACATTTTGGACCCAAGAGGACCATAAGTGATGCTTAAGCTTGATGGAAAGAGATTTTAGAGGATTAAGCTGTCTTATGTTGTCAGGTCTGGCTGCTATCACAGTCTAGGATACTTATGATCTATGAGGGGCATTGTCTTTCTATAGCAAAAAATCTTCTAATACTTTGGTCTATAACGACAGAAGCATAGACCTAAAACTAAAACCATATCAGATCACTCTAATTCTAACAAGTTTCACTGACCCATGAAACTATCTCCAAAAGCAGGAATTGTGAATGAAGGTTTTCTTTGTTTCTTTGTGTCACATACTCCTTCTGAAATTTAGAAATGGCATTATGAATGTTGATACTCTCATACTTGGTAATACATGGTCTCTTTGTGACTTCTACCCCACTGTACCGAAATCAAGGATCACTCAATGCATCTTCTGTTTGGAATGTGTCAAAATTAGCAGTCTAGGAAGCCAGATGACTGGATAAAGAGATGCCTATTTGAATTTGTTAAGTATTATAGAGTAACAGTATTGCTGGAAGTAGCTGTGATGCTGCTGTACAATTCTAAAGGATGTCATTTTCTCATTAAAAGTCCTATTGTTGTATCGAATTTCTCTCCTCTTTTGATTGAAGATATTAAAGTATTTCGTCACTGTTGTTAGAAAACGCTGAACTCCCCTGCAATTTTAGCTCACACAGTGATGAAAGATCAATGTGACGGCGGTGATTTTTGTCTGTTTGCAGCCTTGAAGATCCTGCCATGTTATATGTAAGTAACATGTAAAAAAAAAAAAATTATGTTTCTGTTTTGTATGCCTTGACCTATAGGTATTTATTGCTTTGCTTTCTCTTGTGCATAATTTGTTGGCATGATAATCTGTTTCCACCCCTCTTTGAGCTAAGAAACCTTGTCACGTTGTGCTGTAACATGAACTGTAGTACCTTTGCTATGGGTTGTGACCACAATGAAAACTTGTTTTGGATTGATTATCTGATGTGTGGTTATTTGAAAATATTTGAGTAGTGCACATTTTATGTTCTTCAAGTAAAGTGATTTGATATAAATGAAAAAAAAAATCCAACAACTTCTGGAATGTATCTTCCCCAACTCTCTTTCTTAGTTGCAAGAAGGCTAAAGACTTGCATCTCATTTGGCATTGTTGTCTATCTTAAGATCTTGAGAATTGTTCACAGCATTTCAGAGTGGCAGATATTGACTTCCTCATTATGGGGCTAATCTGATGTGGAGAGATCATGGTTCTATTTCAAAATGAAGGCGTCTCTGTCTGGGGGTGTCGGGGTACACCTCCTGCTGTAGCAGTAGAGTCCAATCAAGACGTTGAGTTTGTGCTGCAGGCTATACAATTGTCATTCAGAGTCAATCCATCTTTTTCCTTCCCTTTGGTTAGTTTTGTTGACATCTGCAGCCTCTCTGGATCTGTGTTTTGATGTTTTTTGTGAGGGGAGACAGCATCGGCTGGGAGAGGCGTTTTAGCTGACATGACATTTGTCTGTTCGCCATGTTTGCTACTGCTTTGCTTACACCCGTGTGGGTAATTTATGCATGATATTAGTCTTCACAGAGCCAACAGGAGACATGATCACACATTCCTGATTTGTGCTTTGACCAGAAAAGTGTTTCCCTAAGTCGTTGCTTGGTATTCACAATTGGACTGCTTTGAAATACTGACGATTGAAATTGTGATTCTGTACTCCTTGATTGTATACTGGTGAACACCGTGTCTAAATCACTATAACTCAGTTTTTGAAAATATATTTTCATCTTGTGTATGATTGTCCCTGAAGGGGTAGAGTAGGTACTGACCTGCTGTGAGTGGAAAGGAGAAATTTTTTAGTCAGCGTAAGTAATAATATGTCATCTAGTTAGTACTACAGTCAAACTCGGATATGTATAACAGAACAGACAGGACCGGCAGTACTTCCCTGTTATAAGCGAGTCCTGTTATAACACTGTAATCAAGGGCAACTACCAGTACCATTGCATTTTCAGCTTACTATATATATTTGATTACTGCAGATCCTTTACCAGTGGGCTGATTTGCTGACACTGAGACGGAATCAATCAGTGACCCCAACACTATGGGAGGGGGTGGGGGGGAGGATATGTGTTTGAAAGTTTGTGTTTAGGCAAGCGATCATACAAACAGCTCTCGTGGCCTAGAGGTTAAGGTGTTCGCCTCTCATTGAAAGATCCCAGGTTCGAATCCAGGTAGCGACGGAAAAATTTTCTTCTCTAAAATTGTCTCCTTTCACCTTCTTTCCCTCTCTCTCTCTCAATATTCTGTCGTCTATTTTCGACTCCACTTTCTTCCCCCGCCCCCTCTATTGGGCTCCTGACTCTTTCTGCAGCCTTTCTGCTGCTACTCCTTGGCACCTTCTTACTGCTGTTTTTCAGCCACACCCCTGATCTTCTGGTAGGAAAAATCTACACTTATCCTTCTCGGACGAGAGTGAAAAATCTCAGAGGTGTCGTGTGCAAGTTGCACCAGTTAAAGATCCCTTGGTGGTCCAAAATCGATAAGAGTAGGCTTCGGCCGCCACCATGGCAAAATTCAAAATTTCCTAACAATTGAAAATGTTTTGTGTGTCCCGCGCGCTCATATACGTATGACCTTATGCAGTTGCGAGCGCCGTAAAACGCTTATTAAAAAAAAAAGTGAAATGTCTTGGTTGAGACAAAATTTAATAATTTGACGGATTGAAAGCAAATTCAAACGCAGCAAGATCACTGTTATATCCGAGCGCGCAAATTGAACCCTGATATAACCAGGTTCATATTACTTACTCTTATAGAGAAAAAAGTGGGAATTTGATTTATCACTGCCATATTCAACTTCCTGTAATAACAGAGGCTGATATAATTTAATATAAATGGACTGGACTATACCCGTATGAATAGTTCAGTCAAATCTGTCCAAGATGATCGCCCATTGTCATGGTGAACAAAATGATTGTCTGAGACAAGTGGATGTCTAGGATAGTGTCATAATGTAAAAAAAAAAAAGCAAAGGGGATGGAAGTGGAGAGTGGTCATTTGTACAGGTGATTTCTTGTACAGGTTGCTATGAGAGCAAGTGAAAGTGATGTACAGTCGAACCTGATCTCATGGCAACCTGTACATCACTTTCACTTTTTCCCCTTGATAATTTATGGGTTTGTTCTGCCTTTTGAGATCAACAAGGATGCCAAATCTCCCGTTTTTTTTGGCTTTTCCCCCTTTTCTTTTTCATCCGTTGCAACGAAGGCCCCATACACTTGCAAAGGAAAGGGGAGAGGTAAGAGAGAGATGTTTTTGTTTGCTGATTTAAAAACTTTACTAGGTTCGTTTTAGGTGAAATGCAATGCTCCGCTTATTTTCCATCCCTAGATCACTTATTATATTATTTCTTATGGCATTAAACTTAAATGTTTGGTCAATGGCATTTAAATTACTTGATTCACTGAGGCTATTACATCACCTGTCTCCACAGGCGCCAACTATCACTTGTGACGTCTGAAATGTTCATGTCTTTTATCATTCTACAGATAATATATCTATTTTGTCCTCGCAATGATATATTGATAAAGTTACAGAAAGTTTTGTGTCTAAAAGTACAGTTGTGCCTTTCCCCGTGATTGCTGTAAGCATTTCACTTGAACAGTATACATACATTATATTCTGATGCACACAAGCTAGTGTATATTTGTGGGTGAGGATAATGTGGTGTCTGTGAATTGATAATGGTTTGCTCAGCTTGTTTTTGTCGCCCTTGAGATCCACTTCCTAATTTTTTTTTTCGTGTATCTTTTTTCAGATTTTATGTTTTGCTTGCTTTGTGTACAGTGTGTTAAAATCATTGCATGCCAGTGTAAGTGTTACAAAAAACAGTTCCTATTTTTAAGTTTTTAATGGTGCTTTATTATACTTTATAAATTTTTAGCTATTTTGGTGGTTTTTTTGTAGAAAAAGTATTTTTCATTCTTGGACAATCAGTGACCAGTTTGGTGGCAAGTCACTGAATTGGATTGCCGGTGGTTTGACTTTAGATGCTGACTGTTAAATTATTTTACTCTTATTTTCTTGAATTTATATTTTGAAACAATCAACAAACTGTTTTGCTGATGTGAATGGAGTGACAAAAGATTTCCAGAGTGACTACTCGTTTCTGTACAGGTATGCTTTGAACGGCTGTGCTTCTTTTTGCCCCTCAGTTTGAGACTTGTATGCATTTTCTTTAAGACTTTGTCACATAGTTTCTGATACATGTATTCCTTTTTTTTGCTTTGTTGAAATGTTGAATTTGTGACTTTTTTGCTGATGTTATTATAATAATATTGTGTGTGTATACATGCATGTTTTACTTTGTGTGTGTGTGTGTGTGTATGTGTTTGTGTGTGTGTGTACATATACATGTGTTACTGTATGTGTTTCTTGTCAGTGAATGCAAAATGTTGAATTCATGACTTTTGCTGATGTCATGATAATAATATTGTATGTGTACATGTGCATGTGTTATTGTATGTGTGTGTATCTTGTCAGTGACTGCAAAAGCCAGACTTGTGCCCTCATACAGAGACTGTTCATAAATATTAACATTAAAACACAATGATATGGCCAGTGACTCTCTTGTGTTGATTGTATTGGCTTTGTTTGACACGTTTTACCGGCAGAAACTTTGGGGGAAAGAGGGAAGTAGTCACTCAAAGAAAATAGGGGAGATATTTGGCCGCTTTTAAGGACAAGCGGGCTAATCCAGATTTCGGGGGTTTCCAGAAATCTTGACCTACCTCAAAAGGGGGTTTTGCCCTACCTTTTGGAGAAGTTTGGTTTAACTGGTGTGTATAGTTGCTTGGTTTTAGAGAATACTCTCTTTGTCATTTAAAGAAACTGAACAAGGGGCAAAAACTTTACCTTCGATTTTCTCAAAACAGCATTTGTGAAGACTTATGATTATTTTTACCAGTTTCACCTCTGGAAAACTTAACTCAATAAAACTTGATATCGATTGCCTGCAGTCTGTTTTGATCAACAGAATGCAGGATGAAAAAAACTGAGATAGTGTTAAAATCAGCAAGTTATGTCAATACCACGATCATGTCCCAGAGATCCTAAACGGGGGAGGATCCGTCAAGATTGGAGAAAAGCAAGAAGAAAGTAAGAAAGAGCAATAAGCCAGAGAACGTTTTGAGATCAAGTAGGCCCCTATTGCCTGTTTGAACATGGATTCTTCAACCAGCGATTAGAGAAAAAATGCTTTGAAATTGTGGCCATATTTTAAATTAATGTACATGATGTCATCGTTCGAATAGAAAATTGTATATGATTCAGAGCTAGGGTCATAATTTTGTCCTTGCTAAAGAACGAAGGGAATTAGTTATTAAATTGTAGCTAGGCGTGGTTTCGTGTGTTCTGTGTCATTAAAAAATCGTTTGTGTTTCTAGCGTCGAAGTAAATATGACCGTTATAGCAAGCCTACCATTGCAGTTATGATGATGATAATCTTGTTGATGATGACCACTATATCAGTGAGGTTTTTGCTTACTCTCGTATAACACATGGCCAACTTCAAAAACAACATTCAGGAACAGAAAGGCGAGGAACAGTTGTCTTACGTTCAAGTAGGACAAATAAGGGCAGAAACTTCATTATAATGATATTATTGTTTATAACAGTAACTATTTTTTATTTAGATTTCCACGGAAGTTGTTCTGATACTACTGATAGGTGAATGAAGGAGACGAACAGAAAGAGGAAACGAATAAACTATCTGGTCTGTCCTTG